GTCGCCCTCTCCCCCCGGGTACTCCTGCCTGCCCTCCCTCACACCCCAGTTCCTCCTGACTGTGTGTGTGTGTGTGTGTGTGTGTGTGTGTGTGTGTGTGTGTGTGTCTGTCCGTCCGTCCGTCCTACAGGCAGCTGGACCACAACAACCTGACAGAGGTGAGTAAGGGCTGGCTGTACGGCCTGCTGACCCTGAACCAGCTCCACCTCTCTCACAACGCCATCAGCAGGGTCCGGCCCGACGCCTGGGAGTTCTGCCAGAAACTCAGCGAGCTGTGAGTCCACCCTTTTTTTCTTTCATTCTTTTTCCCTCCCCCCTCTGCACCCTCTTTCCCTCCCCCCTCCATCCCTCTCGTTATTCCCTCCTCACTTTCCATTCACACTCTGAACTCCCAATACTTTCTGTGTCGCCCTCTCCCCCCGGGCACTCCTGCCTGCCCTCCCTCACACCCCAGTTCCTCCTACTCACTCACGCACACACACACACACACACACACACACACACACACACACACACACACACACACACACACACACACACACACACTCACACAGCATCTCTCATGCTCTGCCAGCACATTACCCAGCCCTCTGCCTTCACTTGAGCCACAAACATCGGCTCCGGAAGTACCACTTATTTTTCCTGTTGGCAATCCCATCATACTGTAGTTTCTTCCCTTGTCAAACACTACGTTACCCACACACTCCAGAGATTTTCTTCCATATCAAAGCACATTCCTGGCAGCAGATTGAGTTCCCTTTGTTGTGGCTGCTGTTTACTTCCGCGGGCCGCTCAGTGTTTCTCTCAGACAGCTTGTTGTTCTTATCCCTGTTTGTGCCGCTCTTATCACATGCAGCTGAGAGTAAACAAGCCGCCTGCCGGCTGGGAGCGTGCCCACCTATCTGATGCATTCTCATCTGAGTTTACTTAAAACCTGGCTCCTCACAATGTTTACTTTCACGATTGCTGTGTTGTAGCAACATTTGATCACCTCGTACAAAATGAATGTTATCATAAAACCAAATCACTACATGTTTTTGACTGGTTGTTTGTATTTGTGTTGTCCTACAGCAACCTCTCCTCCAACCATCTGTCCAGACTGGAGGAGTCCAGCTTCGTGGGCCTCAGCCTGCTGGACCAGCTCCACATCGGGAACAACCGCGTGAGCTTCATCGCAGACGGAGCCTTCCGGGGCCTCTCCACCCTGCACCTGCTGTAAGTTCACGTAACGAAACACAACCAGGCGGAAGGGTTTACTAATGTGTTCTTCCACCTCCTGTGTGAATCTGATCTGACTTCACTCATTAATATGATATCATATGCAGTGAATGTAGTTACAGGTTATTACTCCCAACCCCTATGGAACAGATGGAATCTGAAATGTGATTTTAGCAACATGCTTTTTCTTTACTCTTTAGCGTTTTTTGTACAGGAGCTATAACATTCATGAATACGCTTGGTGAGAGGATTTTATTGCTTGGAGCAGATCCAAGCTTAGTTAGTCTGGTGGTCTTGTGTGCGATGCTAAGCTAATCCTGTCCCAAGTCAAGCTCTCATTTACAGACATGTTGTATCAATCCTCTTTTTGAAGAGAGGTCAAACTATTGCTTTAAGTAGACTCTGTTTCATTACGTTTTTCAGCTAACAGAAACACTATATGTAGGTCCCCCTTCCCTAAAAGCCC